ATCACATGGACAAGTCATCCCCTGGACGACTCATCCTTTGGCATGTTTGAGTAATTTAATGTTATATTATCAATCATATTTGATATTCAAATGATTTTAAATGTTTTGGTTATACAAGTTGTATACGAAGTTTTATAAGGGACATGAATTTTTTTCGGAATTTTTGAATTAATTTTTTTTTGATTTTTGAATTAGATTTTTTTATTCTATTTTCACCGAGGTGAAATGAAATTAACTTCCACCGCGGTAAAAATAGAATAAAAAAATCTAATTCAAAAATCTATCAGAGAATCAGTTTTATGTCTCGGTAACAAGATGTCGGAGCCTCGAAGGTACGATTTTTCTTTTTTCCTTATTTCACGATTTGTAGGCAGAATTCCAACGACATTTTTATCATATGTCTAAGAAAATGTACATGTTTGTAGAACGGAACTTCAAAACAGTTAAGATCTGCCCTTCTAACCTGTTCCATTTGCCAGATGAAGAGAGTAGCTCCCATAATTTTTTCATAATCTATCGTATTCAGGGATTCCCATTACATCATCTCCCGCATCATCTCCAATCAAATAAAATTGCAGGATGCGATCACGTAAACTTGAAAAAAATTTGATCGTGGAAATGGCGTTAACATCTGTTCAATATCATCATTTTAAACCTACAGTAATACTATTGACGTTACTCGATCCAAACTTGTACAGAATACTCATAAAACTACAGCGAACATTGGGAGATTCAGTTCAATGGCAAATGAAGCCTCTTTATAAAAGGAAGAGGTGCGATTATTGGCAAATATCCATATGGTTAAAATGAATATCATTTTTAGGTGTAACATGAAGAATAAAATGTCATATAATACTTTGGAAAATATTAAAGTGCTCGGGGACATATAAGCTGAGATAGGGATCCATCATTTCGTTCAGTAAGGTTGTATTGACTTACATTTACATGGGGCTGTGCACCATTGATTTAACATGAGGATATCAGCAGATCCCAATATGACAATATGACACAATGGTTTATCTCATCAAGTGTGCAAATATGAAGTTTGCAATCGATTCAGGTCATACTTAAAATTAAAAGATTGTACATTTTTCATCATTTTTTCCCTACAAATGGCTATAGAAAAATGCTCCAAAAACAACTTTTACACTTATCAAATATCATACAAGTTTGTAAAACCAACGATTATACTGTCTATTATATTTCATTATTTGGATAAGATGCAGGGATGCGTAGGATGCAAATGGATTTTGACACACACCAAAATACTTCCTGGTTTGGAATCCATGCCTCTACACTTTCATGATTGAATTATGACCCTAATAAGTGGCCTATACATCAAGACAGTGCTGAATATAGGTCAACAAGATACTAGTGTGCATATAAATGTAATAATTGAAGCAGAATACTCATTTTGAAAAATCAGATGAATTTTTTTTTCTCATAGGGAGATCCCAATGGAGAGTGCATATGGTCCTTTGTTTTCGAACGTGCCAATATGAAAGGTCATCTTTTGGAAATCTCCCCCCCCCCCCTGTCCATTTGCATAACAATAGTGAGGTATTAAATCAACGACTCTGTTGTCTTACTATTTGTTCACAAAACATGTACTTTTTCCGGGGGCGTATCTTGGAACCAACAAGGGGGGGGGGGGGCAAATTCCAAGTCAGGAAAAAAAAGTTCCACGCTTGCGCGAAAAAAATTTGGGCCCCTAAAACTCAAAAGTGGGCCAAATTTTGAAATTTTCGGGCCCATTTTGTTCAAAATTTGTGCTGAAATTAAAAAATAAGGCCTTACAAGGCCCATGCAGTAATGACCAAAAAATGTTGTGGGAATTCTGCCTATAAGACGTGAAAATAACTTGGACAAGAAAAATCGTACCTTCGAGGTTCAAAGATTTTGTCTCCAAAACTGAACGATCCGTTTCGGTAATCTGAGCGTAATGAAGTGGAGTACCAGTAATGAACAAAGACTTTCTGGAGGTGACATCAGGAAAATTGTCAAAAAACTATGATATTGTCAAGGAGATAATCAAACCATTCTATATTTAATTTTACTTTTACATACAATTTTAATGTTATATTATTCTCTTCTCGTAAAAACACTACAATTTAGCTCCATGTGATAGAGGATGAGTTGTCTAGCCTAGGGGATGATTTGTGTAGAGGATGAGTTGTCTAGGGGATGAGTTGTCCAGGGGATGATATGACCAGGGGATGACTTGTCTAGGGGATGAGTTGTCTAGGGGATGACTTGTCTTGAAGCCTATTGTACAGTAGACTATATCCTCTAGTCTGAAATTTTTTTGAAATTTGGAATGAAAATATTCAGACTATAGCCCACATATGTTAAAATCATTGGGATTGAAAAATATTTGTTTACATAGGAAGTGCCATTCAAAATGGCCGACTGGGTAAATTAATTTGCATATTTGTTACTTCCCCTAGCTTTATTTCCATTTGACAATATGCTGTGTTACTTTTCATAGCATTTAATTGTACCTTACTACTTAATTGAATTGTTATACTGCTTATTTTTGGGAAGGGAAGTTTCCTAAAATTGATAATTGTGTGCCTGGAATTTCCTGTTTTTCCCACAGGAGGGACATAATGATCAATAGACTGAATTCTCAGGAAATTCAGTCTATTGGATATAGACTATATTGTACAGGGTCATGGCGTAGAATATTGGAAATAGCGTCATGAATCCCGGGACAATGAATCTCAGATCCAAGTACGTCATTAATGTTCGAAAATCAAAATATTGACAAATTTATAACCTAAAAGGCCGAAAGATTATGCGGCAGATATTGAAACGGGGGTTGTCAACATATTGTATAAGCTTTGATCTCTTAGAATCCGTTGAATCCTTAGCGATTGGAGTTGTTTAGATCACTTAACGAATGCTATGAAATGACGAGGATTTGAGTTTTTTCAAAGTTTATAATGGCGGCCAATGGGGGATTTTAGCAAAATATCCCGAAAAATAAATCATTAAAAGGCCGAAAGATCCAAATCAAGAAATCTCCTATGGCAGCGTATACCGCTACACTAGCTGTATAGTATTTCCATATCATCAGTGATTAAGCCAGTTTGTTTGTCATCTGATACGTCTGCAGTAGGAGTCTTGGAAGAATGTAACTACTGTACTTAACAATTTCTAGTCACTAGTACCCCGCACGAGTTTTTGATAACAACTTTGACCCGTGATTTTAACATTCTACCCTAAACTTTGTGTTATTAAATTTAGCACACAGATAAACTAGAGGCAATTTCCAACATAGGAAATTTTTGTTTTCATTTTACTTCAATATCAATAACAATAGAAACCCACGCAACTGAACCAATGGTGTCATTAATGCTTTTAACCAATTTGACGTCATAAAATCAAAAATTGATTTAAACAATTTTATTTACTTATCACTTAATTATTTGAACAATAACACTCTGTTTAAAGTAGATCTTCATGGTATTTTTGAATAGTCTATCGGTAGTCTGTCTATAAGAACGGTTCATCGACAAAGCTTTATTTTGGGAATATACTTGCGCTTGATATCTAGTTGCCCAGGTGTTGTCATATTCATATTCATTGAAACAATGTAGCAATTTTGGTAGAATGTTCAAATCACGGGTTAAAGTTATTATCAAAAACCTGTGTGGGGTACTATAATGCTGACCCTACTGTGCACTCAAACTCTATGTGCAGTATTTGTAAAATACCAAAAATTACAAAAAATTGCAACCGAAAGGATATAAATTCACAAAAAGAGTTTGCAAAGTTTACTATCTTGTATCATCTAATCAACCTCTTCTGAAATCAATCTACTGAAATATTTGTCACTCAAAATAGATTAAAAAAACGTTGAAAATATTTGAGATAGCAGCATTCTTTCACAGTACACTACATTGAAAATCATTGATAGATCCAAGACCAGATGGATTCGATAAATAATATTAATGATAAAGTTTGCTACATTTAGAATGTAAAGGGTAATGTATTCTCTTAAAAGCAGTTAGGTTTCTTCTATTACTGTAAACTCTTTGTATTTGCGTATAGTAATCTTTCAGAAATAAATCAACGAAATCTCATCCTTTTAAATAATCTAACAATGATTTTTTAACAGTACACATTCTATTTATTTATATTTTGTCAACAAACTAAGTCAAATATGATAAATAACATTATCATCTCAAAAACAAAAATGATGGGAAATGAAGTATATTTCTCTGTGTACAGTAACATTTTAGCAAAACCCTAATTCTGCTTTGAGAAGCAACTTATACAGTTTGCTGGAATATGAAACCACATTAATGTTTGCGTTGACAGCTTAATGGGCCTAGATAGGGATTTAACATGCAGTATAGTTATACTGGTAGCGGTATACGCATTTCTTGATTTGCTATGGATGGATTTTCCTGATTCATATATCAAAACGAACTCTTCGTTGGGTGTAACAAGGATCCGTTGAATCCTAAGAAAATAAATGATTTGCTAAAAAGTAATTAAGATTTTAAATTTTGATGAAGACTGCTCTCCATTGAAATCTTTGGACCATGAAATGTCGATTTACGCGCATGCGTTGTGACGTTATTTCCATTATTCTACGCCAGGTCGGACAGGTTACAATAAATATATATGGTGGCTTGGGAATATGATGATACCCTATTGTAAGTCCAATACATCCTTTGCCTAAAATCCCACGGACGGACGTCAAGTACGTTTCTGGCGAAAGCTGGAGCATAGATTATTTAAATAATCAATGCTCCGGCTTTCGCCAGAAACTTACTTGACGTCCGTGTAAAATCCTCATTTTCTAATATTAGCGAAAGCTTACATGTAGCTCATGGACTACATTTATCTCCTCTTCGCTTGAAACTGACCAATGAATAGGCTACATGTATTGATCCCGCGTTTAAAAGGGGATTCCCCTGATTTACCCTTTTCCTGACATCATCAGACGGCGGATCAGCATCAGGGCGTTTATCCATCGAATAATTTATGACCACTTCTCTCATTCTCAATTGTAAGTAAAAGAAAACATGCATATTTAGCTTAGTTGAGCCCGGATTAGAGTCAGATCGATGTGACTTTGGAAGTTTGGAATTTACCTTTCACACGTCTTGAATTAGATGGAAATTCCGGCCAGGGGAAATTCCCACTTATTCCCAGGGAATCTGCATTAGATCTTATTCGAGTCTCTAGCCAAATTACTGTGGCCGAAGAATAAGGTAAATTAGATCTATTCATTTATTGAAATGCATTTATTAGACTAAGATCACAATGGCCACGTTTAGAACTTTAGTACTGGCATATACATACTGTATGTAGGGGCTATATGTTTGCTTGAAACAGGTGTTTTAGGTCTCTGACTCTCTGGGAGTCAGTTGGCTAGTGCACCCTTGGTATACACAGCTAACGAAAATTGACCGGTACGGGTCAAAAGCTGGACCGGTACGGGTTAACGGTTTTATTTGAATTTAAAATAGCCATAACTTGCTCAATATTGACTTCCTCGTGTCTAATTTGAAATATATGATGCCTCCCGATGCTTTTAAGTACCCCATTTTTTTACAGATTTTTAAACGGACCAAAACTCTCTAAATGCGCATTTATGCTCTTTTCTCTCGAGAACGACTGTCTCATTTTCACGATAACTGGTCCGTCTTCTCGTTGCAAGCAGATTGCCCCGAACCGGTCCGTCTTCTCGCTGCAAGCAGGATGAAATTCTTTGTCACAAAGTTTGGCATTTTTTATAAAATCAAACGCGCGTCATTGAAACTCACAAGATGTAAATAGCATGTCATTTACATCATACCTTGATGGGGAAAAATAGATCGTATATGTTAGAAGTACTAAATATAAGTTATCGTGAAAATGAGACAGTCGTTCTCGAGAGAAAAGAGCATAAATGCGCATTTAGAGAGTTTTGGTCCGTTTAAAAATCTGTAAAAAATTGGGGTACTTAAAAGCATCGGGGGGCATCATATATTTCAAATTAGACACGAGGAAGTCAATATTGAGCAAGTTATGGCTGTTTTAAATTCAAATAAAACCGTTAACCCGTACCGGTCCAGCTTTTGACCCGTACCGGTCAATTTTCGTTAGCTGTGTATACCAAGGGTGTAGTGTGTCAGTCAAAACAGAGACATATAAAACAGTTTGATATGTCTCTAGTCAAATCTAAAACATGCAATCAATGTTTTATATGTCTGGTCCAAAGTACAATAGTCTAGTCTATTTATAAAAATGAATTCATACCCTACGTACATTCACGGACCTGAAGTCTTAAAGTCCGTGGTACATTGTACATTTGTATATTAGATACATTAGTTTTATCCCGTGCAGGACTATAGTCATGGCACGGGATAACCTTAGTTTATTTTGCAGTAAACCTATATGGTCTTGCTTGGTAAAATGATGTGCTACACACAGATGACAGAATTTTTTGGGGAAAATACAAGAATGGCATGAGTATCAGGCCTGTCAACTGTCCCGCAATTTGCGTATTTGTCACGCATTTGCTGAAGAATTTGAAGTCACGCCAGTTATTTTTGCGTGACAGAAAATGTCACGCAAATACGCATTTTATCTGGTAATCGTCAAGCAAAAATATTTCTGTAGAAAATTTTCTAAAAAAGATCGTCTACACAGCAAAAATACGAATGACGGGAAAAAACGTACGCATTTCGTTCGAACTTTTCACGCGAAATACGAATATGTCACGCATTCCGTTCGAAATTTTTCGTACCTACCCCCCCCCCCCCCCCCCCCCCCCCCCCGTTGATGGATGTTTGAAACGCGAGCGTAGCGATCGCGAAAAATTTGAGGTGTTCAAAATTTGGCAAGATGTAATAAAATTTAAACCAAGGTGTTCAAAATTTGGATCAAGGTGTTCAGATTTGGACCAAGGTTTGAGGGGAGGTGTTCAACATTTCCAAGTCACTCATGTTAGGTGTTCCCAAGTTGACAGGCCTGGAGTATACAGTGTACCTTGCACAAGCCACATACTGCCATGGGCATAGCGCTGTAGGGGTTCACTGTGGGAGCGCTGTTTATGCCAGGTACACACTGGCGTACCAAATGAATTAGAGAAAAATATGTTTTTTGTTTATTGATCATTCCCATTATGTGCGTTTTTACCTTTTTCTGATTTACCCATTCCTGTCAGATTTAAATAAAGAAATACTGGATGTTCACAAAGCATTGCAATTTGAATGTGATTGCTATTACTATGTGATTGCTACCTCGCAATTTTATGTACACTCCCCTCCATAAGTTTGGCAACCTTTGCTCCATCATTGAACTACGTGTTAAACCCTCTTCATGTTTGAATTTTTATTTATATAACCTGCGAGGAAAATACTAACAATATATATTGATGGAAATATATGTAACTTGACTTCATTTCCGAATTTCCCAAATTTTCCCAATTTTTTCCTCAATTACAATAGGTCGAAAATTGATAATAAATTTGATGTATTTTTGAAAATCGACATTCCCATGTAAACCAATGGGAAATGGTAAGTTTGCCGCAATATTTCATAAAAAATTGACACATTTGTTCAGGTTTAAAAAAGTTATAGGTCTTCAAAGTCAAAATTCTTTTAAAAAAACTCCTCCCATTGAAATAACAGGGAAAAATGATTTTTAAAAATTTTGAAGCTCTGTAACTTTAGTATTCATAAAGTAAACTGAACACTGAGCATACCAAAAAGTTAGACAATTCAATTTTCTATATAAAAATATTTTTGGTGAATCTTTTACTGGATAGATTTGCCCCGAACTCACCATTCCCGTTGGTTTACATGGAAATGATGATTTTCAAAATTTCATCAAATTTATCATCAATTTACCACCTATTGTAATGGAGGAAAAAATTGGGAAAATTTAGAGGCATATGAAATGAAGTCATGTTACATTTCCATCAATATTATAAGTATTTTCCTCACAGGTTATGTAAATTAGAAGCCAAACATAAAGATGCTTTATTGCTAGTTGAATGAGGGAGGTAAGGTTGCCAAACTTATGGAGGGGAGTGTGTATAATGTACACAAAATTGGGGGATTACGTTATGATTTTTTCCGGGTTTCACCAATTTTTTCCAGACTGTTGACTTTTTAATTGTTCTTTCCATTTTTCCGGGTTTAACTAATTTATTTACAAGGTGGATTGTCATGATCATTAAACATATCCAAGGGATGGGTTACACTAGCAGATCTAGACAGGGGCGTGGGGAGCACGCTACAGTACTGATGATAGAAACTAGAATACATACAGATGTATGCGTATTTTGGGGGAATGCAATATGTAGAATATATGTACACTTTACATTCTAATATATACTATTTTCCCCCAAAAAGTGCATTGGTTCGACTTCACTTCTTAAAAAAACTCTTTACGTATGCGCCACTCCTACTTCATCTGAGTCAACTCAGGATGCGCTAGCCAACTTGAGGCAGTATTAAACTTGTGAGGTGTCTACGAGTCAATTTGCAAGTCAGCTAAATAATTATCCCACCACTACGTGCTTATTCATCCCATGGACTTAATCTATCTTAGTCTATGGTCATCCTTACTAGGAGACAGGTTTTCAATAGATTATCTAATTCAGTTCTGCCTATGTTTATCACAAAGACAACTATTAAATAGAATGATAAAAGACACAAAATGATGACTAAATTCGGCTCTTTACATGTATTTCAGAGAAGCTTAAAGCTTAGTAATGGTTGACAGGCATCAAAACATCTGTCATACCTGAGATTTACATTACATGTATGTTATGTCTCAGGTCATACATAGGTGTAGCCAGGAGGGGGTGGGATGGTGAGATCGCACCCCCCCCCCATAACCAAATTAAAAAATTTAACCATTAAAGGAAGAAAAAAGCTTTAAAATGATTTTTATTTGAAGCTTCTAGCCCAATTTTGAAGGAAGTTGCATCAATTTTTGTAAAATTCAAAACAAATCTTAATCATTTTTGGTTTGCTTATGCCAAGATCACACACCCCTGACTGAAAACTGAAATTTCTTTGGCAGTCGCACCCTCCCCCCTGACTGAAAGCTGGCTACGCTCCTGCCATATTTGAAAACAAAAACCAAAGAGGAAATTTTTGCACAGCTTTCAAACAATTTATTTCAAAAATAAATAAATAAATTAATTAGGCCCAAAATATCAAAGTTGAAATTTAACACTTTTAAACTTTTACTTCAAAAATCATGTTTATGTTGAAAGTGATTTTGGCCATATGTGGACCAAAGTTGTCTAAAGTGAACCCCTCTCCCCTCTGGAATTTTTTTTAAAAGTGATCCCCTTTTGGCAAATCCTGACTAATGGCATGTTATGTAAAATTGTTAGTGCACCATTGATTACATGGACATTACAATTACAAGTGGTCAGTGGATGCTATATTGCAGATGATTTGCAGGTTGGGTGGTCGTCCCTATAAATCTTGTCTACAGGTTTCCAGCCAAACCGATTTAAGGATTCATCTGAAATTTTCAGAGGTGTCTAAACCTATAAAAGTTTAGAACTAATTGGTTTTGGCATCTTGATTCTCAAGGTTTTAGTTGCTCTGTGGCTATAACCACTTTGAATTCGAAGATGAGTTTTGGGGCATTCTGGATAAATGTTGAAATGGCCATTTTTGATTTTCTGTCTGAATATTGTTGGTTGAGATTTGTCTACAGGTTCTCAACCAAACCATTTGAGGAAATGATCTGAAATTTGTAGGGATGTTTCTACATATGAAAGTTTAGCTTTTGGGCAGTCTGAGTAAATGTTAAGGTGGTCATTTTGGATTTTCCACCCTGAATACTGTATTCTATTAAAGGGTGTGATTCTGTTCACTCTGTGTCTTGTTATACCTAATAACTATTAATCCTATTTGATAATCCTAAATCCTTTATTTTCAGATATAGAGACGGCCTAGTGGCCATCATGCCATACGTATGTCTTCTATACATGTAGATGGCTTGCCAGAATTTGTTCAGCTAGACGATAAATACAATTGTTTACAATGCAAGAAAGTTCTCCAGGTCAGTGGATTAATACAAGCTAATTTACAAAAAATGAGAGTAAATTTTATACAAGTATTTCATTCTTTTTAGGTAGTACTTCCTGGGGTGGGATGGTAAGGTTAATTGTCCAATATGGGGGATTAAGTTATTTTTTGTAAAAATATTAAGAAAACCTCACAAAATATTTTTTATTAACTTGTATATAAGAAGGGGGAGGTGGTGACTTACTGGTAGAATTCTCTATTTCTCTTTACTCGTTTATTGTCACCTTCTGCCTTTATAAATGATAAAATGTGAGATCAATTTTCAACAGATGTAGGTCAATATAAACAAAATTAAACTTTTTAGCTAGTTTTACTTGCTCTTCCCAGCTATATCTGTAAAATGGTAACAAGGGAAATTGCCTGCCATTTATAATGATATTCATGCTTTACATTGCTCCAATACAACTGAGACTGATACTCATATTTTCAACCCTTTTATACTTCCAGGGAGCAATGCAAACTGCCTGCGGGCACAGAGTTTGTGAAAGACACATTGATGAAGCTATTCAAGAAGGAAAGATATATTATTGTCCTGGTGGAGAACCTGATTGCCTAGAAATAGATTCAGTAAACAGACAAGTGACCGTAAGAATTTTTTATTATTATTTATTTAAATAGCCTCCAAAAGGTTGCTGTCCTGTTATTCCCATATCCATAGGATAAACAGAGATTATCCTATATGAGGTTCAGGATATTGGGATTATCCCGAGGCCAATATAATATATCTGCCCAAGGGCTTTATGTACCTGTAACACGTCCAAGTATGGGATAAATTGGTTTATACAGGTCAATACACTAAATTGCGCAGCTGGCAGATATTTATACCATTGAACAAAGTTCATGAGGATATATGGAGAATCTTGCCTCCATCAATCTGTCTGTATGTCTGTCTATCCATCCATCTGGGCAATAATTCCAATACCATTGAACTGTACTTTATATGCAAATGCCTTATGTGTGTACAAGTTGAGCTCAAAAATCAACTTTTAATGGCAAACATGTATTTTCTTTTGACAATTTGCTTAAAGGTAGTTGTTTGGAAAATGGTGGTAGAATGATTTTTTTGATATATTGTAGGCTTGTGTAAATAAATGCAAAATTTCAACATTATACAATTGTTGACCTCTCCAGAGGTCAACCGGCAAAATTGTATACCAAGACTGTAAACCGAGAAACTACTGTTGACAGAGACCGAATTTTGACGGTTGACCGAAAGGAGAGGTCTACAATTGTTTTGTTAGTCCGAAGAAACTAATAATACACATACACTGTATAGACGACAATCATCATTGGCATGGCTTCATTTCACAATCTTTTTTCCGAACCACACCAGCAATGCGTACTCATTAATGAATTAATGTTAATTTTACGTTTCTATTTGTATTTTTGCTATACTTGTCGTCTAGTAAAGTCAAAATATCACTTTCATCAACCTTTAGTCCGTCTACCATGTTTTTTCTTTAAACAATATGACGTCATGAAACTTATTTTTCAAAAGTAGTGCTCAACCAATTAGAATCGAGTATTTCAGTTGAGGTACTAACAATATATTTTGGGAATATATCTATGGTGACCATTTGAGATATGATTTCTAGCAGTGTTGTCTGACACTCATTAGATGTTCGATGGGATTTGCTAATTGATATTTTTGCAAAAGCAGGTGATGTATTCTTTTATTTCTCAAGCATCAATATCCCAAAGGAGTTTATCAAAAATCCAGACACATTTACTGAAGCAGATGTTTTAATGTTAGGGTCACCTTTAATACATAGCATTTAATATTTTTGATGTTTTATTTCAGGTCAACCCCGATTTTTGCGCTCGAACTGAAATCTCAAAATTGCCAGTATACTGTACTTTCCACGAAAATGGCTGCAGTGATACTGTTCCATGGAGAAATTTAAAAGTAAGTTAATTATTTATCTTTATTTATTTTATGATATGAATACCCGTCTACATGTACTTGTTTCCAGTGCACATCAACTACATGTGCTTTTTGTTTAACTGCCAGTAGATTTCCATACTGTACAGTCATATGAATTTGACATTGTGGTCATTGCATCCATCCATAAAGTTCCATAAGAGCCCAGGTTCAGATCAATATTAAGGCCATTGAAAGGCAAGTCAGGCAGGTTGGGAAATAATCTGAAGTACATAAGGGGAATATAAAAGAAAAACTATAAATATTTTTCCATTTATAACAGACTTCCAAATGCGAATTAATCTGTTAATGGAATTTCCATGCCCTCCCATGATGTGCTTCGTGGAATGACAATATCCCATGAAACGTAATTAATTCCCATGATGATGCACCTAAAACATTTTACATAGCAGGCTAGACATAATAATATGAAGAGTAAGATGACATTACTTTAATTAGTAAAATGGTAATATATAAAGTAGGGTGTTCAAAAATGTCCATTAAACAGAAAAAACACCAACTTTTACTGAGTTTAATAGTCCAACTCAAACTCAACTGTAAAGTATAAGATACAGTCCACAATGTTTATCCTTCATCATTTAAGGAAAAATCTTGCTATAATTCACAACCATTATACAAGGCAGCAGGTAAAATGCCAATGAACAAAAAATAGTGCACCAAAAGGGATATGGTGTTGCCCTTCATCCATCCATCAGTCAGTCTATCCATCGAGAAAAGAATGCAAATACTAATGGATGGATTTTCTTCAAATTTTTTGAATGGTGTGATTTGGGATTCATGAAACAGAAAATCTCTGAAGTATAAATTTTTTATTCTTAAATGAAAGGTATTTTAAAGTAGATTCCTATAACTGCATTATTTTTTGATAGTCTCAGAAAAACCAAATTGGCCATTGGATGTTGTATTTTTGCAGTAATTTGAGATCTCTTCAAAGTATGACCGCTATGTTTTCCCCAAATTGAAAGAATTTATTTCAGAATACATGTAGATCACAATTATTTCATCGTTTAATATCTCATTTGTGCTTTGGAAAATCCAAAACTATTCCACCTAATTCGAGAATTCTCAATAATCAGAACTCAGATCTCTTAAAAGTGTAGCTTATACTGAAATATTATAGTGTGACATCTTTCAGATTCATAAATAATTTGTTTGTTGGGATTTGCTACTCTGTGGAGTTGCTGTTTTCTAGTTATAATCAGGATAGTGTATTTTAATACATTTGTTATCCCAACGAACAAAGTTCGTTAGGGATATAGTGAAGCCCTCCGTCCGTCCGTCCGTCCGTCCGTCCGTCCGTCCGTCCGTCCGTCAGTCAGTCAGTCAGTCCGTCCGTCTGTCCAGAACATAACTCAAATACTAGTTGACAGATTTTCTTCATATTTATTCAAGATGGCCGCCGCTTTAAAAATGACGGGACTTTTTCGCAAAAATCATAAATTTTTCATTCTAAACCAAAGTAATTAATATTATTGTTTGAAATTTTGGTAGTGTATTCACAACATTTATCTTTTTCACATATATTCCGTGTTTTTCATCCTGACCCCCAGGGGCCATGTATGGGGGGACAGGAAAACAGAAATTTTCGCTAATTTTTAGATCTTTCTGAAGTATAGCTTTATTATTATTTATTTATTATTAAAATTCAAAATGGTTGCTTTGCAGGAATTCGCAATTCTAAAATCTAATTTTTTCATTTTCAACCAAAGTAATGAGTATAATTGATTGGAATTCGGTAATTGATATTTTGTTCGTTGGGATTTGCTACTCCGCGGAGTTGCCGTTATCTAGTTTTCCTTCAGGAAATAAGCATAACTTATTTTCCCAATGTATGACGGTCTGCTGACTTATAGTGAACCCTCCTTTCTGTCTGTCAGATCAAGTGCACTTACTTTTAGTGGGCTTCTTAGAATAAAAGAAATTTCAGATCAATTTCATGTTGAACATTTATGTTCATTGGATCATTCTGTTGACCTTTCTCAAGTATGTATTCATCTTTTAAAATGTTACTTCCTGGTTGACTCACATGGGTCGACTAATATCATTTATTATCAGCCACTCATCTCTCAATCTGTCCATCACTTCAAAAAGTGTCTATAGAAATATTAGTTTTTAAGTGACATTTCCAAAACTTGCCCTGTTCCCAAATTTTGGTCATTAGGGAACCTAAGAAATCCCAATGACCCACTTGTCCATCCGTCTGTCCCTCCATTCATCCACCTTACACAATCCTATCACAGGTAACCTACCTAGGATCTGAAGATTAGTTTTTGATATCATCTTTGATAACCCAAATACCAGTTGAGAGATTCTGCCAAAAGGGGACAATACTACTGCCTTGTCATGACTATCATGTGATTTAAAAAAATGAGTGATTAGATGTGTTTTGTTTGGTGGGATTTGCTACAATAGGGGGTTTCTTTTATCCAGTTAAAGTATGAATTATTTCCCTAGATATTAAATGAGTAATGTGAATTTAATTTTTAATAGCCTCTGGGTCTTAGGACAAAATGACTTACGAATGACTTCATGGTATTTATAAAACGTTCTATTTCGATATAACAGAATAATTAGCTCATTTTGTAGGGACTTTTTTTTACTTATGCAACTTCCTGAAGTATAGCTACATGTATATACCAGTAAGACAGAATAGAGTAAAAGAATCATAATTTTTGAATAGGGTCCTTTGGATGAGTGTAAGTATCAGGAGGAAGGATCTCAAACAGTTAGGACTGGTACTACATGTACTTCTCATAAAATTGAAAATAATGCCTGCATGAATGGAGGGGGAATCTTTAAGTATGAGATCCAAAATGCAGTTGAGTAAATTGAAAACAAACCAAAGTGTTTTTTCATGAAATCAGTTTTCAAGAAATAACATTCACACACTGGAACACCCTGACAAGTTCGTATTTGATTCGATTTTCATAAACTGCATGTTTAATAGAGCACCTAGATTAAATGCATTTGTTAAAACAAGCAATCAAGAAAGTGTCTTTCTACTCATCGTACATTGTATAGTTAAATATGTTCTAAATACTTCAAAATAAAGCCTTTAATTTTACCGATGAACATACATGTATCACATGGGACAACGGAAACTGTATAAATGACAGTGGTAAAATGTGGGTCAAATGCATTGTAAAATCGGGATGACAATGTTAACATTATCTAGAAGGACAACGGTAATGTGTCTAATTCCCGTTGTTTTTTACCCATGTTCCAATGCAATATATGCACTATAGTCCGCTGTCACATCTTACCATGTATCGTTGTCTCTGTTCATCATTTTAAATTCAGATTCCATTGTCATTAATGATATGGGAGATGGTATATTGTGGCGATTTGCAACCACATTTGATCAAAATTGGGATTTCATATAAAACACCATCACATACATGCAAAGAATTAGTGACGATAAGGTCCGATGAACTGAGAACCAAGTGATTTAAGAGTTGAAGCAATGGTTGTGTCTGCCATTTGTGACAACAGTATCTGACTTTACATTGTCAGGGTGTTCCAGTGTGATTCAAGATGAACTTTCATCTAAAATGACCTTTATCCTGAAATGAATGTCTGTGGATTTGTGACTTCTCAGAATTTGTCCAGCTACTTTTCTTTAATTTTTATGATTTAAATCTTTTAGAACCTAAAATTATTAAAAAAACAATACCTCCCTACCTTTTATTGCTCAGCACTTGGCAAAAATATCATCAACATTGATACATTGCCCTTTCATGATTAAGAACTTTGGATGGAAAGTTACTGGGAGTTCTATACAATATCATATATTGACTTACTTGTGATTTAAATTGAGAATCAAAGATGCATATAGATCTCAATAGTTGTAAAGATTAATAGTACAATAACGTCATTTCGAAGGCAATATTGATCGCCACTATGACGTCACAAATTGCTCAGGTTGATATAGTAAAATGAAAGCCTTCTAAACTAGCACTAAAACCCCTAGAACTGGCCTGGCAAGGTGGTAATAATTCAGAATATCCTTAAATCGAAATATTCAACTAAATTTATTAGTATATATATATTTGCAAAATAGTTATTTATCTAATTTCCAGAAACACCTGGAAGAATGCCTTTACATCATAATGGATTGCCCAAATCAGGAGAATGGATGCCAAGAAAAACTTTTGAAGAAAGACTTAAAGGATCATGTAGAGCAAAATTGTAAATTTCGGAAAGAAGCATGTCCATACTGCCAAGAAGAATTCATTATTGCTATTATTCAGGTAAATTCCCAAAAAATACTGCATGCTTTCTTTTAATTTAATAATACATTGATGAAGTAAACCGGAATGAACATTTCAAATATTGAAAAGTTGCATATTGCAGGGGTTTCACTAGAAATTCTCACAACAGGCAAAATATATGAAAACAGCAGGCAAAATTAATAGAAATCATAAATTTAACATTGAAAAGTTGAAAAGTCCCCCAAAAAACAGGCAATTTTGTGAAAACAACCGGTGAAAATTGCTTGTGCCTGTTGCTAATGAAACCCCTGTATTGTGTTAATTTGTAAACTGGAGACACCTGTCTAACAGCTGTTCTAGTTGATAACATAAAGGCACTTTGTTATTTTTTAATTTGAGAATTCAAGGGTTAAAACAATATGATCTCAGGCAAAAACAGACTTTTATCAAACTGACATTTTTTCCCCGGGAACATTTTGAGATGTTACTTTGACATTTGCATTTGCTTATAAGTGATGACTATGAACCAACTGAACTGGGTTGGAGTATTTATATTAAAGTGTATAATCCCTCATCCATTAAAAACAATTTGAATTTAATAATTTTGATGTTTCACAGAATCACATGACAAATGAGTGTCCACAGGTTCCCATTACTTGCCCATATGGGTGTGCATCGGCTGCATTTCCAAGGGGCGACATTTCATCGCATGAGGCAGAGTGCCCAGTGGCCCCTAAACAATGTAGATACAGTGCTTTGGGGTGTACTTTCAAGGTAAATTTCAAATAAATCAATATATTGATATATATAAATAATGTTGGAATATTTAGTGTGGTCACAAAAATGATGATTTTTAAGTTAACACAAATCCACCTAGAATGAAATGGTCATTCAACTTAATCTTACTTTATGGAACACTTATGGAACTGTTCAATTTTCATTCTGTAACATTTGAAGAATAGCTCTTGAACAAATCCATTCTTTTTCACCAAGGTACTGTAGTTCTAGTATTTCATATGATTAATCTCAATTGCAGGGAAACAAAGATGAACTAGAGACACACCATACAGAATTTAACACTCATTTGGGCACATTTGCTGTTTATAGTGCAGAATATGCGTTGAAAACATCCCAACTTGTGAATCAATTTGAAAATCTGAAATCAGAAAATGACAAACAAAAGTATGAATTGGAGGAATTCAAAAAAGAGAATGAAACCCTAAAAAAGAGTTTGGAATCAACACAGACCAGGCTTAAAAGCATGCAGGTATAAATATATATTATTTAAACAATTTATATACAACTTCCCAATATTTTTTAGTTAAATCACTTTGGACATATACACATGTTAAAAGCACAATTGGGCATAATGTAGCACACATTCTTTAAAACTCTTTTAATATCAAACTTAAATTGCATAATGAAATGCAAAAAATGGTAAGAACTGATATGTATTGAAAACACCAAACCTCAAAGGATGTGATAAAGGAAAATAAGAAAGACATTTACAATATTATTAAAAAGGAAAATGTGCTAAACTCTGCTACTGTTCTTCTTCATGATCTGATAGTAGGGACAGATAGCATCAACCTTCACAAAATAATAAAAGAAGTGAAGCTCCTACAACTCCAGGAATAAGAAAGACAATAAAACAGCCATCACACATCAAGAATCAAATGAAAGAGGATTTCATTCAAATATGAAAAGGATTACTGTATCAATAGATTTACACAATAATTCATTTAAAATATCCCTAGTATGCAATATATACTACATGTATATGTCTACATATAAATATGGGAATGAATTGTTTTGAGTAAATCCTAAGGATGATTTAGTAAGGTAACTGAAGCTACTAACATATGGATGAAATACTCACATGTAATGCCTGTAATGTATATACTTCCTAGCAAGCCAAGAGTTTGGAATCGTTTTCACAAAAGAGTTGAGTCAGATATCAATTTAAATGAATAGGTAACAGTCAGAGACACTCATTCGATTACAGCTGGAGAAATGCTGTCAGCATTCGCAAATATTGAAGATCCTCCATGTTCTGTTAAGATTAAGACATATTGTGGATTACAGGTGATGTTGGTGAAACATGGCGAAACGGTGATTCGTCTTGATGAAGATGTTAAAAAAGGAGGAGTTGCAGATCCACAGAGTATTAAAGCTTCTTTACTCTCTGAAACAAAATCTTTAGAAGAGAGAATACAACAACTTGAGGTTGGGACAAGCTATGGAGGTACCTCCACTGGGTCATCAGAAAACCTCGGTGAGTATTCAGTTAAGACTTAGTTAAGGCAATTAGAAGGTCAAAGTCATCTTACAGTTAAGCATAACTGACAGCTTAAAAGTCGATATGTATGATCCTTAGAACATTTGACTGGTAGACAGTTGCTAATTTTTATGATTCATTCATTCATTTGAATGGTTCATATTATTCAATAGCCAACCAATCCAGTTTGACTGTTGATATTGGTTGCAGAAAATGTGTATACATGTACTGTATTTTCTACTATAGTAAGTGGTTGACACTTCTATCTTTTATTGACTCTTTAACATTAATTTTGCTCTGTTTGCTTAACCTCAATCATAATCAATTTTTAATGTATGCATTAGTACTTAAATGCCGAGTCATATACATGCAGGATGGTCTGTAGGATTATCATAAAGATAGAAGACAGGGGTTTCACTAGAATTTCTCATGACAGGCTAAATAAATGAAAACAACATGCAAAATTAATGGAAATCATAAAGGATTGGTATCGATATGGTGAACTTTTTGAACACACGTTTCTCTTAAACCAGTCATCAAAAAATTTTGAAAATTTTACACATCATCAATTTAATGGTCATCTTTTGAATGGTAACAATATAATTTAAAATATATATATATTTTTTTCTCTATATTGTTTTAGAAAACACACCAGGCACTTCTTTTTTGTTGGTATCATATGTTTGGAATGAAATGAAACATCTATCCGAAGCTCATTGGAACAAAATGACATAAACACAAAGTGTTTAGGTCTCTCAATATTGTAAAAATATTTACAACAAGTTGTAAATGCTATTTTGTTCCAAGAAGGTTCGGAAAGATATTTTATTTCATTCTCAAGAATTGGTAGAAAGGAACAAAAAAAAATTGCACTAAAAAACAAAAAATGTTAACATTAACAGTTATATAAAAAATATGTAAATAGTTTTCACATTAAATTGTTGTCAATCAGTCAACATTACCTAAAGGACCATGTTTTTTACAGAATGTTTTCAATAATTGGTTTAAGAAAAAAAGTGTTGAATTCAGTTCACCATATCGATACCAATCCTTTAACATGGAAAAGTCCCTAAAAACAACAGGCGATTTTGTGAAAACAACCAGTGAAAATCGCCCGTTGCCTGCCCTTAATGAAAACCCTGGAAGAGTACTTGTATATTGTAGTCTTATAGTCTGAGCAATAGATAAATGAGTAGTGGATTTGTTGAAGTATGGATTTCCCATGTAAAAAAATGAGAGAAAAAATAGAGAGGCCACACATAAGTGGATAAGAGTACATTGTATACAAAATGTATAATATACAAATTTTAGGGGATATCCATCTTAACAACATTGGAAACTATGGGCTTTCAAACCACCATAGTTTGAAAGTGGTGACAGAAAATTGAGTACAATCATTTATAATTATTCATTGCTCAAGCAATATATCTTAAGGGAGCGGCAGATGAATGATAGTTTTGTGAAATACTGAGATATGACATGAAAAAAAATTAATTTCAAGTGTATGTAAACATTGTAAAATGTATGTTTTGATCTTAACAAGCACTCTCTCAGTTGTTCGTTGATGACATTGCACTTATTCATCAGTGCCTAAAATTAAAAGGTTATTTTAAAATTACTCTATATATAGTTATTCATTTTTAGGTGTAAATTGTTAAAAATGTGCTAGATATGATCCCCACCTGTCTATTTTTGGGAATTTTATTTCTCTAAGTATCAATAATCATAATATAAACTTCTAAATATAAATTAAAACTTTTGATAAGCTTTTGAAATTGAATAAACATTGATTTGTTCCATTTTAGACCAATTAAAACAGATATGATGATTTTTATTTTTAGATTGAAAGTTTTTAAGAACGCACTTTATCATGATATTTAAAATGTGTTCTCCAATAAATGAATTCTCTGTTCACCTACAGTAATGCTACTTATAATGAACTGACAAGGGTTAACAATTTATGCAAGGTGTGAACCTTGACATCTGTATTTTGGCGCTTAAATAATACAGTATACATTAAAATTTCACAATAAGTTCAACGTTTCAACAGCTGCTGAGAACTCCCTGAATATAAAGTCCCAATTTTGGCTCCAAGTTACTTTTTTAAGTATTTATTATGCTAAACAGCAATCAAATATAAAAAGAATTGAAAAAAAGAATAAATCCAGTGATGGATCTATGAATTTTGAGCCTAAAACATAATCTCATTGGAATTAATTGAACCTTTGTTCCAGAAGATTTTGTCAAAAGGAGACAATACTGATGCCTATTTTATAATGATGTCTGGTCCAATAAAACATGTTTTGTTCAGTGGCATTTGCTATTCTATTGAGTTGTTTTTTCCTTACGAGAGTTTATTACAAAAGCAAGATCATGTTCAGATCAGCGCTCAGACTTCTTAGAACTTCCTGTTCTACCTTCTTGAATACAATCTACTTTTCATATTTACCCATTCAACTGAAAATGACTTTGATTATTACATTGAGTGAAATACATTTTCATATTCTGACACCATTGAATCTTTTATAAAATATATCAATAGATTCATTGGAAGTCAGCATTTTTCACAAACTGTAATACTGCGACAATTATGCACACAAGAAAAACAGATTTTGCAGATGGACCCAGGGCATACCCTTATACCCTCCCTGTTACTGGATCCACCAGTGAAGACTCTGTAAATACTGGTTCTTAATGTTTGATCGTACATTGTGTTAGATTTGAAAGATTTGAATTGAATTTTATTTTGAATTACAATTTGAATGTGTATTGTTAAACATAGGTTTAATACACCAGAGTAAATGACATATAATATCTGACAAATATATTAGTAAATTGAAAAAGTGTGACCTTCAGTTAGATGCTGACCTCATACATGTACATCATTGGTATTTTGAAGTGTTGGTGAATGGAATTCCCAATGCTATTCTCAGAAGTTTGAAAAAGTACAGGGTTCCATAAAGTGTGGGACATTGAATAATATTTGCAGCTAAAAGTTGCTATCCTAAACGCTCATTGCTGTTTGAAATAATGACATTTTGAAAGATATGTGCTCAGCATTGTCAAACTATAGAAGTGTACATTAAAACAGCATCTTTAAGTAATGAATTCATAAATATTAGGAACTACAATAAATGCACAATTTTAATAAAAAGTATATCTAGCTTTCATTTTTCCATCTGAGGCTAAATATGAGAGCATTGATTCTGTTTCATTGTGACACCTTGTACATGTATAGTTATAAAACAAAATTGAAAGATGTTATAATTGGAGGTTTCTTAGAACTTCCTGATATAATTTGCTTCCTTCTAGAATTCACTAATATCATGTTGACTATTGTGTTCAAATAACATTTATTTTAATTATTGCAGTAAGTGAAATACAGTTTCGTTTTGTGACAGAATTGCATCTTTTATAAAATGTACTAATAGATTCATTGGAAATCAACATTTATTGTTGCTTATAAAGAAATGCAAGTTGATAAAATTAATAAAAAATTGATGGTCATTGTTGATATTTGAACTGATCATAATGCAGTTTAGAGCACTCCCTGCCTTAACCTATTGACAAACCCTGTACTTGAATGAGCAAAGTACAATGGTACATGTACTTCATTATCTACAAGCATTTGTATTTAATTTATCAGTTGTTGAAACTCATATACATGTATTCAAATACACATATAGGCAGTTACTTTTGTTTTATCTGATCTGGACCATCTATCCTCATGATAGTTATTTAATAGGCACGTTAACTGTCATTTGTGACTTCACACTGAGCAAAATTGTGCAGCTTTTAATTTTTTATAAAATCTACCATATTTTGATTCCCACAAGATTTGAATTTGCATCTTACATTGATGGAGGAAGGAATATATAATATTTAAATTGGAAGTATTAAATCATTGCAACCCCCCCCCCCCCTCCCCCAGTAATGCTGTTGCACTCACCTGGTCCATTTTCAGCAGTTATGAATAACAAAGATAGTTTAGACATGTTTTTGACAATTCAAAGGTGGGGCGATTCTGGTTACCATGCCATGGTTATATATTAAATGGTTTAATGTACCATACAGTATGCAACCGGGAAGAGCCGTCTTGCAATACAATTTACTCTTGATGTTTATTTCATTACAGATGGCATAAAAAGCCAACTGCGTCAACTAGACCGTCTAGTCGGGTATCACGATCTACGATTAGCTGAACAAGATCTTCGTCTTGACGTCAATGATTGTATCTGCTATGAAGGCTACATGCTTTGGAAGATAACAAATTATGCTAAGCGAAAACAGGATGCTATCAATGGGAAGACCTTGAGCTTGTACAGTCCCCCTTTCTACACCAGTCGATACGGTTACAAAATGTGCGGGAGAGTGTACTTGAATGGAGATGGAATTGGCAAAGGCACTCATGTATCCATCTTTTTTGTGCTCATGAAGGGTATGTTTTATCCCAAAATCCATACATTAAAGCACTTGAAATTTGATAAGTAGAGGGGTGATCCAAAAGTCTTGGGCACCTCGCTCTAACTTTACTATTTTCTAATATAATTACATGAAACTTTCAGATAGTAAAGATCAAAATCTTAACAACTTTGTGTATAAGTTTCAACAGAAAATAATATATTTTAGCTACTTTTCTAAATATGTTTTGATACCGGGTCCCTGCCACCCGGAACGGTATTCAAATATAGCAAATCACGTCACAACTGTTATAATATGGCAAATATTTTAGGTGCAGGTTTACAACCTAACACCAGTCATGATATGAGAGAATTTCAGATTTTCAGTCTGAGTGTCATCTGCCATCATCATCTTCACATATTAAGACCTACTTTTCAACATATTTTCCACGAATTTGAACACATTTTTCATACCGCTTTACAAATGAATGGAAGACATTTATGAAACCGCCCTTGCTTATGTGATACAAATGCTGCTGGAGTGCCACTCTAAACCTCATACAATGAGTCATAAAAGATATTATTTCAACCCTCCCTTTTTCTGGAGAAAAGGAAGAAAATCACACGGAGCTATATCTAGATTGTATCATGCATATGGTAGCTGCTCAAGGTCAATAATTGTGAAAATATCTTGTCTTTGTTCCACTTTATTTCTTTCATGTTCTGCATTTTAGCAGCTATCTCGTAGCAAAAATGATACCAGAATGAGGGTTGCTTGTCTGATGTCATTTTCTTAGAATTTGACATATACGACCATTGTCATATGTGACATTATTAAAACACAATTGATTGGTTGCATGGTGACAAAGGAAATAAACTAACATGGTTTAACATTCAAAATTCAAAGAAAGACAGTGGTCAAGACTTGCGAAACAAGTGAAATGGCGGCCATTTAAGGCTGAAAGTTGCCATGTGCGAATACCGTTCCGGGTGACAGGGTCCCTATATTCAAAACTATCTAGAAAACTACATAGAATATATCATTTCTCAATGAAATTAATACACAAAGTAGTTAGGTTGTTGGTCTTCATTATTGGAAAGTTTAAAGTAATTTTATGAAAAAACAACAAAGTTAGAGCAGGGCGTCCAAGACTTTTGGATCACCCCTCGTACTGTACTTAAGTTCCTTACACATTAATTTGCCCAACTTGGCTAATATTGCCATTTTACATATTAAAGTGGTTTACATATTTAATGGTTATTTGCTTGCAAATTGTCTTTAATGTATTGTTTAGATAGATGTTGCATCATACATATTGTTGGTTTTTGAAGAAGCTGTCAGAGGCCGGGCATAGTGAACTAAAATTTTTAGTGATATAAGACAAAAAGGATACTTTATTTTTGTTTTTAAGCTCCTCACCATCTCTTGACACCATCTTTAAAGCATCATCAAAAAGCTTCTTTTTATTATTAACAATACTTCAATCCTAAAAATATATGCATAGTCGACATACATGTAAGCTTCCTTGTTATGATGAATTGATGTATGATTATACAATTTGCATTTCATAAAAAGGAGAATACGATTCCTTGCTCGAGTTTCCATTCAGACAGAAGATCACGCTGCAAATGATGGACCAATCATCAGACAGACGCCATCTACAGGATGCTTTCAGACCAGATCCAACAAGTTCTTCTTTCAAACTTCCAGTCAAAGACATGAACATCGCATCAGGGTGTCCACTGTTTGTGCGACAGGAAACACTGGAACAAGGTGGATACCTTAAAGATGATTGCATCATTATCAAGGTGGCTGCAGACTTAAACGATCCCCCATTGGTGCCAATATGAATATGATATAAGGGTAGATCCAATGAAACTAGTCATAAAGAATCTCTGAAAATATACTAACATACTCATTATTTATTATTAATTTATTGACTTGTATTGATACATTTATTTTTGCTACAAAATCATATAATTATTTATTATCTTTTGAAAACATGCATATCTGCAATCAGACGGTGCCTTTTGGCATGTTTTATTCATGCCTTGTGCTTTTTTCACCACATGTAGATACATTTTCCAAAATATTTGTGCTGATTTTCCCACCACACAATTTCATTTCATCTTTTGTCTGCTGGTATTGATTCTCCATGTTGAAACTATAAAGTATGAACTTGAAATAAAACTATTTGAGCATCTTTAAGTTTTGCATCCAAAATCATATCATATTTTTTAATTATTTCAATTCAATTTATTCCTTAATAATATAATGTACCTTTAGTATGTTTGAATTGACGTTTTGATGGCAAGTATGAATTGGATCTATTCTTATCGTGTATACTGTATTTGGTAATCACTTTTCTGAAATGGCATAGGTAAATTCTAGTAAGCACAGACAGTAATCGAAAAAGTCCAGCTTGGGAAGCATACTATTTTTCATGAAATAAAATAAGAAAATTTCACAAATTATTTTTTCAGTCATATGTTTCCTTATACCAATGACAATGAACTACCCCATGCAATGAGTATATCATTTGTGGATAACTCAACCTCCACTTCTGTTTGAGGTCCAACAATGCTATGAGTAAAAGCTATTGAAAATGGCGCCAGAGTATCATTCTCTCTCTGTATTGGGCCTTTTTAATCTTTTAATAAAAAATAGTGTGTAATTTAAATTTTTTGTCCAGCTGGGGGTGGAGCAATTTTGTATTTCACATTTTACACTGCTCTTCCAACCTGGACGGAAAAATTAAACATTATTTTTTATACAAAAGATTAAAAAGACCCAATACATCTAGATTTCATTAATACCTTCAGATTTATGCTGAAAACATATGTAATTATTATCAAGTCACTTTATCGTACCATTAAAAAAGAAATGGTTCATTTTGGACCGTGATTATAACTCTGACGCCATTTTCAAAAAGGTTTTACTCAAAGTGTTATTGGATTTCAAAGAGAAGTGAAGGTTATCCGCAAATAATATTTCAATACAATAAAATGCTTTAAGTATGATAAAACAAAGTTGGAAGAATAATTCATTCAGCATTTTGAAAAAAAGATCACCTGAAACAATCAGGTGTTTGATTATGATTGAACTTGAAAAACTTGTTGATAATCCTTCTGAAAAACATTTTTATTCACTGAGTTTTATGCAGAATTTTACTTATCTGTTCCATTATTCATTTCGTTTTTACATACTAGTGTGCCCTTAGCAGTCAATTTAGCTTATTGAATTGAAAGATTTTAATTTTCAAGAGTCACATAGTAACAGAGTTAGGGAAATGGTGTTGTATTACATGTACTAACTGACATAGGACATGGGGATTTTCATCCAAACAGGGCTAAAATACACAAAAACAATGTCCCAGTTATATTTTCACACTCATTATTAAAAGTTATTCCAAATTCTCTAAACATGGCCAATATCATGTAAATAATGGCAATTTGCAGAATTAAGCTTGTAGTTGAGGAACAATACTTTTGCTGTATAGTCATGTTTAGCAGGCTGGAATATGGGCCTTATGTGCAGAGTCAATGGGAGGTTTTGTGTTTGATAGTTGCTTTGAAAATACAAAATCTTTTAACTGATACGAGTATGCATATTCATTTTATATTCATCTACATGTATTTCAGTTATTTGTTGTATTATCACAATTTCTGAAGAGTTTCTATGAGGGGTTGTAGGGCATTTATTACATACTTTTAATTCTATAAGGATGTTAAACCAACACTTTTTCCCCAAACATCATGTTCATGGAAACAGCACTACTATTTTCATCAATTAGTGGATGTGTAAGTAAAAATTATTAGAAATGGAATGGAAATATAAAAGAGCCAATATATAACAAAGTTGGAAATAAAAAAACAGTAGAAAATACATGTATCTTTATCCATCTACAGTACTCATGATGCTATGTGACTCTTGATTCTTAATGGAAACTGCTATCCTTTCATCATAGAGGTATATCTGTACATTTATCCTATGACAAGTGAGGTTTCAGGTACATAACAGCGGGATATGATATCCTCCTAGAGTAGTGTAGTATAGTATACATGTAGTGTAGAGTGGTTCTATTTATTTTTAATGACTACAGTAATTTGTCAGATAATGACATCTATAAAGAGTCAGTAAAAGATGTATATACCAAAATTGGCCCTTGTATATATAGAATGGATGTAGTGGAGAAGCGGGACATAAAATATTGCTTTCTGCCCCTGCCACTCTAATATTCCTGGGAAAACATTTTTATTCAGTGTAGAAATAGTCAAATTTGTATTTCAGCATACAAGAAAGAAAAATATGACACTCTCTCTGATATAAAGTTCAGGAAAAGAAGAGATGCTTTAGCAAAGAAACAGAAAGTACTTGCAAATCAGCCAATTGCTTGTCATAGGATAAATTAGTTATGTGATGCTTGGTTTCGGATATGGTTATTTATCCAAAACCTTCCATATCGTAACCATTGTACAGGGTGTCCCGAAAGTATGGGGCCCCCCTAGGCAGACATATACCAGTGACGTCATAGTATGTGTCATATATCATGTTAAAGCTTATCCAAAGTTACATTGATTCACCAAGTATCATGGTTCAACTCTCAAATGTGAAAAAATTACAGGCATTTCAAAATTTAGTGTTTGGTCAAAATTAAGTTCAATTTTACACCAAATCACAAGTCAATGTGTCCTTCCGGGCCATCTTAACAGCAGCAATTCTTTTCGGGTCGAATGGATATTGAGTTGGAAAAAGAGAACGGTGAGGGTAGAAACTCTAAGGAAACTCTTCTAAAGTGCCTTAACAGGTTTTAAGAGGGTTATAAAATTCCACACCCCTATTTGAAGGGCTTTTAAGGTCATATCTGAAAATAATTGCTACTGTTAACATGACCAAAGGGGGACTCATTGACTAGTAGTGTGGTGTAAAATTGAACTTTATTTTGACAAAACACTAACTTTTAAAATGACTGTAACTTTTTCTCATTTGGGAGTTAAACCACGATACTTGGCAAATCAATGTAACTTTGGATAAGCTTTAAAATGATATATGACACATACTATGAGGACACTGGAATATGTCTGGCTAGGGGGGGCCCCATACTTTCGGGACACCCTGTATATTAATAATACAGACATTAGACAAAAACTGGATAGCATTTTTATGAACTGAAGGTAGGGCTTTACTTGTATGTTCGATTACCACAATACAGTATACACTTCATACTTCAAAATTGGACAAAGGCAGTGGGTAAAGATTGTGGAGACCTTACATTAACACAGAGTTGACACACAAAGTGTACATTTATTTGCTATTAAAAGGTTCCAAACAATATTATATGATACAAAACACATGATAATACCCATATCATTTACATTGGGAAGTTGTGAAAGTTCTGTTACATCATTACATGTACATGTATTCTATCAGAATCACATTACATAAATGTGCGAGGTGTTACCATAAAGTCGTCATAATGTATCTTTGGATTCCTTTTTTCAATGTAATCTAATGGAATTTTCAGAGAATGTGCAGCATAGAATAACTTATTCTTGTAAAAATATTCATTATAACAGAAATATTTATTCAAATATTACGTAGAATATAGTCAAGGGACGAGGGGCTAATAATGACCTTCATCTAGCATGTTTGAATACATAACATATTAAAAAGAAGCTATCAAACACATTAAAATAACTTCTATGTAATATGTATATGTTTTCTATTACTAAATGATAATGTCATAGATTCAGGAAAGTAGAGAATTTTTTTGAATTTATAAAGATTAAAAATTATGTTAAATTTGGAAAATCCTTTGCCCAAACTAAAGGTGATCTAAAACAACAATATGATGAAGATATTAGTAGCCATGTGTAGTGTGAACATATTGAAAGGGAAAGAAAGGGGCAAAAATACCTGTCCTTTGACTATTTGGCAAAACAGGATCTCACTATATTCTAATGTGTTTGACATCTTATTTCAAAACTTATGTTTTTAAACCTGGATTATGGGGTTCTTTTTCAACTTCTTAATTTGCCCCTGGTTTCTTTAGTTTTGGTTGCTATGTTTACCTTTTTAACTAAACTTTTTCGTTAAACTAGAAATTTTTACTGGATTAATAGGATGACCTTAAATGTTACAAACTCTGTGAAAATTTCAATGTAATACCCTGGAAATTAAAATGTTTAGAGAGATATAATGAGAAATGTAAGCTCACACCTCTTTTGAAATGTAAAAATTACATTACCATGCATATACTCAATGAATATGACCCCATGTCGGAGTGTAAATGACCAGTCAATTTTCCATCACTAACATTATAGTGATTATTTTGTTAGTAACCTACCAACGCCTTGTCACAAGTCTTGGGAAAATGACAGAGTATACTATGAAATTTAGAGCTCTATTTGTGATGTGATTATGTCAATTAATACATGTATATCATACCTACTGAGTGAGATAACATAAGACGTGTGATATCAACCTAAACCCTATATGTATACATGTACATGTACATGTATGTTGTGAACATCATAAAACATGATGAAGCACTTCCCTAAAATACATCAACATATAACTGCATACATGCCAAAGTAGATATTGATCACATGGAAGTACCACCACACAAAACATTTGATTCATTTAGAACCTTTATAAGGTAATATTTGAAAAATTGGCAACAAATGATAGAGTGTAAAGTGTTGGAAGCAGCTCCAAAATGCATTTCTATGTTTTCTATACATGTACAATTCTATTTCCAGACTGACCCCAAAAATAGACACTCTAATTTTGGAATCAGTTTTTCAATTTCAATTGTCATGGAATTTTTTGAATTTTATTCAGTAAAGCAGTGCAACATTTTTTATAATTAACCTGTAATATATGATTTTTTGGATACCTTATTTATGGAGAAATGTCCAGATTCATTAGAATTAAAACATTTTAATTGATCCAAACACATTGCAAAGTACATTTAAGGATCAAAATAATA